CGCACCTCCACCTCCCCCCACTGCAGAAGACAGCCCCCAGATCAGGGACTCCATGACAGACTCTGAGCTGGTGGAGATGGGTAAGAGTTTGCACCAACTGTTAATTTACACTTAGCCTTCTGCTAACTTAAGATAGGTTTGTTTATTTACTTTGCCTCTGAAGAGAGTAATTACACCATAAATGTGTCCAGTGGAGAAACATGGCTTCAGTTGTAACTAATGAATCACTCTGTCCTCTCCCAGCTGCTTGTGATGTCATTGACCAGCAAATGGGCCAGAAAGTTGCAACCCCTCCATCAAAAGAGACAGAAAATGACATCCTCACTCCTAAAGCCCCCAGCATCGCCTTCCCTCTTGCCAACCCCCCAGTAGCACCAGAGCCACAGGTAAGGATTCATATTTACATTAAGAAGTTGATGCATTAATATTGCCTTGATGGAAATGAACTTGCTGCATGGATTGGATAAATTGGCTTTTTGCAACTCAAACTACAATGATTAGGATTTGGACAGTACATCGTTTGTTATATGCATCCTGTACCGTCTCTTTCAATCAAGCTGATGGTGCTAAAAAAAGTTGTTACTTCCTCTCAGGAGGAGCAAGAGGAAGAAAAGCAGCCACCCAGATTTCAGCTATCCTCCCTCAGCCCTCAGGAACGCATTGATTACAGTCACCTCATCGAGGAGCTTGGTGAGTCTCCCAGCTAATTAGGGCTCTAACAGCGTTTCATCATGCTGCAGCAAAAAAAGGCAACAAATCACTGGCCTGAAGTCAGAGAGTCTAATCCCTAATGACTAAGAAGCAGGATCTGCCTCCAGGGGTCTGGGAATATTTCCTCCAGCAGAAGCTCAGCATCATCAAATGAGTCAGGTTTTCACTGCTCACTACAAGTTGAAACATAATTGAATCCTACAGAGCACACTCTCCCAAAATGCATTGTGTGTGTAGCTATAACTCTTGTTTAGATACAGTATATCTTATGTATAGTTGTGTCTTCAGTTTCTGTCTCTGTTTGTGTTCGGTGTATTAGGTGGTGTAGTCCTGGACAAGCAGTCTTTTGACTCCAGCTGCTCCCACATCATCGTAGGGACTCCTCTGCGCAACGAGAAGTACCTGGCAGCAATGGCAGCCGGAAAATGGATCCTGCACCGCTCGTATCTGGAGGCCTGCCGATCAGTGGGTCGCTTCATCCAGGTCTGAATGTGAAGAGTTGCTCCTTTCTGTTTTAGTGCTACCGGCAGAAAATAGAATAAAAATAGTTTCTGACACATTTCTTTCTGTATATTTCTTTTCGAAATAGCTGAAGTTGCATAAAGTGGTGTAAGAGTTGTAGGTTTGGTTTTGTAAAACCTCCCAATAATCTGCAGCTGCTTGCAATAGCATATGGAACAGAGCATCAGTACTATGAATACTGCATCTCTACTTTCCTTTGCGTGTTTTTTTTTAGTTTTCTCAAAGGGTTTTTAAGGTTTTTATGAGCCAACACATTTTCCCTCACCCTCGCTGAACTATCACAGAATGATCAGTGACGAATGTTATTTGAATGCTAATATATCTGTTATTTTTGTTCCAGGAGGATGAGTATGAGTGGGGCAGTAGCTCCATACTGGATGCGTTGCCCTCCATCACCTCCCAGCAGAGGAGACTGGCGTTGGCTGCCATGCGCTGGAGGAAAGCCCTGCAGGGGCGCCCTGAACATAGGGTGCTTATAAACTCATACGCTGTTAACACTACACGGCTCATTCTCAGTTCATGTCACTGTTACTGTATTGTGCACTTCCTGAGCATTTAAACAGACTGAGTATGAAACAATTCTTTCCTCTAAATGAGTCTTTGTATTTTTCAGGGTGCCTTCAGTGGATGGACAGTCATGCTGAACATCGACCAGAACAGAGAATCAGGCTTCAGGCGGTTACTGCAGTCTGGCGGAGCGAAGGTCAGTGCTTGTTTATTTGTTGTCCTAAATCGAAAAATCATGTGTGCTTCACTCGTTTCTGCAGTTATCAAAACATCCCCAGAACGAAGAGAGGGAAAGATTTTTAGACGGCATGTAGACAGCAATAGTGGAGAGAATCACTGTCCATCCAAAAAGCTGCAAATTGGAAAAGGTGCATTTTTACATTTACATTTTTATGATGTTAGTGGCTGCGGCCTTTGTTTCATGTGGCTCACCTCTGCTGTAAAACACTGGGGGAAACCCTGAAATAACTAGTATTAATACTGAGAATTTTTGGTTCTGACAATAGAGAGCAAGAATGAAAATAAGTGCTTCAGGAAATAGGCGGGTTGTTTTTTTTAGATCAAGTTAAGGAAGCATTATGCCAGGACACAGAATAGAATGATCAATCAGGACAAAATGGAGAAGTGGGAAGAAACCCCTACCTCACCAGTATAACCTTGAGCCATCTCTCCACTATATTTTCAACCAAATGTTAACTTTTCTGTCTTTGGCAAAATGGTGAAGCCGTAGTTCTCACTTGTAATTCCTCTCCAGGTTCTACCCAGTCCCTCCCCATCCTTGTACAAAGAGACCACCCACCTGTTTGCAGACTTCAGTCGGCTGAAGCCCGGAGAATTCAGAGTGGATGTATCAGAGGCTACCTCCCAAAGAGTCACGTGCTTGAAGCCAGAGTACATCGCAGACTACCTCATGCAGGTTAGCAGAGCCCTTCATACAGATCATCACTGGAGTGGCCTAATATTGTTTTTGTCGCTTCGGTTCGACCATAACTGCATGCCAAAGTTAAACAATGGTACAAAGCGTGGCAAAAATGGATTCTAACAAATGTTTTGTTTATGCATTCTGGCCATTGTAACGTAGCTGAAAAGTTATTGCATTTGACCTCTTAAGACAGTTTATGCCTCAATAACTTCAAGTGACTTCATCTTGAAAGAAGTCAGATTCCCTCCATATGATTAGTTCATTTTCAATATTAGATTAAATGTGTAAAATGGTCTTTTTTGTACTGACACTGCCCTTTTTTCATTCCTGCAGGAGCCCACTCCACCTATTGAGCTGTACTACCTGAGTGAAGCTCCCCCTGAGGAAACTCCAGGCACTCCGTCACGTAAACGTAAAGCAGCAGCCGACGCCTCCAGGCTGAAAAAGAGCCGTCTGACGTGAAATGTAACTCTTAAATATTGTCATCGAAATCCTCCTCCCTGTAAATTAGATTTTCTTTTATTTCCTGTATGAAAATAAAATAAATGTAGCACTGGTTTTGTCCATCTGTCATTTTTATATAAGAGCACTGCAGTTGGGGCTGCCTGCGCTGAGACTAGCTGTGATGGATGAGTCAATGAAGGTCTGCAGAAAATGTTGAGTCACGTTTTGTAATTGGGTGCAATGGTAATTCCTGACCTGTAGAGGGCAGTAGGTTGTCACTGTATGACTGTGTTACAGATGCTCTCTTCAACAGAATTAAATAAACAAATAAATAAGTGACTGTCTGATTTCGTCTTTTATTTTTTGAAAATCTAGGATCATTAAATGCCCAGGATTGATTTCCTGCAGCTCTTCTCTCTTAAAAAGTGAAGACAATTATCATTTTTATTGTTTTTCAGAATAAAATTTGCCATTATATTTCTATAACAGGAGCTCTTGTGTTTCTAGTGATGGTGTCTTGTTTATTTATAAGCAAGAATTCATCCAGCAGCTGAAATGACTGATGGAATTCATTTAAACTCTCAAACCTGGATCAAACAAACATGCCCTTCCTCACCCGGTGATTATGAGCCTCTTGTATCAGCTGTTGATCTCCCCGTACTGTAAACACCAGATTTTGTTTACCCAGTATTGGTTTGGGCCTATGGTATAGTGGTGTGCTTTTTCATACCAGGGTGCCAGCTGAGGTTATAGGCCCCTGGCCCCTCCCATATGGACGGATAAGTGGTTTAAGCTCAGAATAGATGGACCATCTGACAGACTCAGGGTTGAGCTGCTGTTTGTGAGGTGTGGGATTAGAGGAGGAAGAGTTGTGCTGACAGGGGGAACATGACTCATACTCCAGCAGCCTCCAACAAAGTATGGAGCAGTAAAAGGTTACTTGTAGAGGTCTGCACAGAGAGAACATTAAGTTTCAACAGTACTATCACTTATTTGGTTATAGCAGTGGTTCCCAACTTTTTTTGAATAAAAAATTGGAGCATTATTTGCTCAGGATGCCTGGTCACGGTGCATATGACCAATAATTTGTGAGCTGTTTGACCTGTGATTTTCAGATTGTTGTATTTTAATAATTTAAAGGCCTGAAGAGGTAAAACATTGAATTACTGTTTAGTTTTTACATTTATCCATCAATTTAACATGAAAAATAACATTATATAGCCAAAATAATTTCTGATAAAGAGCTGAAAGTTAATTAAAAAATCTTTTTAGCTCATAATGAAATAAAAAAGGAAGAACATTTTGGCATTTGAGAAGCTGTAGGAGATATTTTTACTCATTTAATGACTCAAAACTTACTGATTAATCAACTAATCATTTCACATGCAGCCTAACTTTCTCATAAAGCTTGTCTGACTGAAATGCTGCAGCTGTAATGTCAGCCCTCTGTTCCTGCAGCAGTACCTGCACCATGAGAGACATTAAGTGAAATATCAATCACAGGTCTCGTTGCACAGCTGGCTTTGGTGTCCACTGAGTCAGGGTGTCTGGATTGTTTTCAATCAACAGGTGTGTCACACAGGTGAGCTTATCTCCCACTTCTTTGACTGGCAGGTGGCCAGGAGTTGCGTGCTCCATTGACTCCTCTTTTCTCATTCTCCTCTCCTGTGAGGTAAACTTTGAGGTTTTCCCGTCGGGTCAGTGAATTTCAGCACAGAGAGAGCCCGACTCTCCGCTCTGGGAGGAAACTCTGCAGCAGTCCTCATTAAAATTCCCTGTCCGTACACTCGCCACAGAAATCCTCCTGTAGTGGGTGGCACCGGCGTCCTGCGCGCCTCTTAATTGCGCACCACGCATTAACGAGCGATCACGGTTTCAGCGCCAGTGGCCGCGGATCACGCTGCCGTGCGGCAGAGAGTTGTTTGCTTCACGTCCCGATATTTACGGCGTCTAGGCTGAGAGAGGAAAGGTGAGTCCAGGAAGGTCCGGCATAGGGTGGCGCCCTGCGCATCTCATCCCGCGCTTGGACACACTGTGTCGCTTCCCAGTGGCCGCGGGGGGGGACAGTCCGCTCCTGCAGTCCGCTGCTTGTTCTTAACTGGCTTCTGGTTGCAGCTCATGATTGTGACATTTCTCGGTGGGGACTAGCAACATGTGCGCCCGGATGGTGTGAAGTGTGACACAGCGGCTTTGAGGTTGCATTTCTCTCGGATACGCCAAGTACCCGACGTTACGGCGCACCTTGTCTAATAGGTAAGTACATCAGTTTATTTCTCTAGGTACTTTACATTTGACAGCCGTCTGTGCCTCTGGTGTATTTTTTGCTCTTACAGCACCTCTACGTATGGATTATATCCGGCATCTGATTTGTTGAAATCCTGGTTGAGGGGTTTCCAGGCAATCATGGGTAGCAGAGACTGTCACAGACAAAAGCATCAAATCACTGTCAGTGCTGCATTCAACCAACACTGCAACATGAATTCATACTCGAGCATCATTAATGTCTCTCATGATATGGATCCTGATGTCAAGACATGAAAATGGCATCAGAAGTTGAGCTGGTCAGTTCTCTGGAAGATTCCTGGAAAGTCACAATTTCACTGGGAAGGAGATGAAGAATAATTCAGTTCTTAGTTTGGTGATGTTTTCAACATAGTCTCAGTCTCTCTTCAGGAAGCCAAAAACTGGAGTATTATGTGCAATTAAGAAAATGCTCTCTGAAATGTTTCATTTGACTTTTGGTGACACTATTCTTGGGGAAATGAATGGGTAAAGATTTGCACGTAATGTCTGTGTCCCAGTTTCATTACAGCAGTGGTAGGCTTGTTTGCTTTCAAACATTAAAAAAAAAAACATAAAAGTTTTTGATGAGAGAGAGAGAGAGAGAGCCATCAATCTTTCAACTTTAAGATGCCCTAAGTACGCTTCAAGTGGTTTATTTCTCAGGCAACATGGCAGCAACAAAGCAGATAATAGGAGAAACTCTCTTAAAACGTAAGACCACCACGAACAAACCGGCATCACCAAATACCCCTTTTGAATGTGGAGCTCCAGCTTTGTTTTCAAGCTCAGTAGGATCGTATAGAAGCACAGTTTAAAGTGTGTACTAATTGAACCTGCCGGCCACTCTCCCCATTGTGACAGGAATGTTTGGTTGCATGCTCTCCACAGAAACCCCCCACTCCCTTTGTTCTGGGGGGACAATCCTCCAGTGCCATGTGTGCAGTGGTGGGGGGAGGGAGTGGGGTCAGTGGGGGTATTGACATCTGTAGCTGACAGCTTCCTCGGGGCGAGCTGACATGCTGTGATACCATAAATGGGTATTAGGGAACATATGAGGAAAGCACTTAACGATAATGAGGACATTTATGCTTTGTGCACCCATGCTCCGGGACCAGTCCAATATCCAGAGAGATATCAAGCAGTTCTGACAATTCTGTCATTTTTTTATTGACTGTGATGCCGTAGCTTCTTCTTCAGACTGGAATTAATTAAAAAGTTATTTGCTTGTTGATGTCTCAAATCTAGCTGAGGCTGATGGGAGTTTCATTAGTTTTGCAGGTGTTTGGTCTTAAACCAAAGTATGGGCCTTGAGGAAAGGTCAGGGGAATCGGCAAAGTTATCACAATTCATCCTGAGGGGACCATGAATGTTTGTACAAAACCCATCCAGTAGGTGTTGAGGCATTTCGCTAAAAGCCACAAATGTGAACCTGAAGGTTGTGATAGAGAAAAAGTCAGGGCGATCACCGAAGTTTGTAGGGTTCATCCTCTGGGGACAACGAACGTCTGCACCAAATTTCACTGCAATCCATCCAAATGTTGCAGTGGCTTTTCACCTAAAACCACAAATATCAACCTCATGGCGGTGCTAGAAAAAAAAAGCAAGGCATCAGCAAAGTCACTAGGATCCATCTAATAATTGTTGAGATATTTCTTGCTGACAGACTGACATTATTATCCCTAGAGCCATGCAACGAGCATGGCTAGAAAGGCCAAACACTCTGCTTTCAGCTTCTCTGCTATAAGGATGTATTGGTTGGACAAAAACAAGTAATTTGAAGACGTCACCTAAGTCTCTGTGATGGGTATTTTGCAATATTTTCTGACATTTTATAGAGTGAGCAATGAGTCAGTTAATGAAAACAATAACTGATAATCAAAGTAGTCTGCTTGTTGTTGTCCTAACTTTGTCCCAGAGGGCTTCACAGTCTGTGCAGGACATGGCATCCTTCACTTGAATAAGGAAAACCTTCCCAAAAACGGCACACTAGCTCCTGAAGTCGAGACTGAATGAATGATATAAGGAGGATATGGTTTTCACGACATTATCACTGACAATTCAGCAAGATGGAGGGCAAAGTGTTGTCAGCCGTTTCAATACCTTCCTATTTGGTGCGATAGCTACTGTCAGCATTAGGAAGAATTTTCAGAGGACAGCGGCAGAACAATCGCCGCAGCTGCTCTCTTATCACCGATGTCAGGAAAAGCTTATGTTAACAATGAAAAACACTCGGAAAATATCAGCTTTCCCATCCAGAGCGACAGACCTCCCTTAAACAAACTTATCAGGGAAGTTCCAGGAAAAGGGAAAATCTGGTTTCTGACTCCTGGAGCAGAAAGTCTGAGCTGATGGGAAAGTTTTGGGGAATGTGGCTACGGCAGTGTGAGCGGGTTTCATACTCGTACATGAGCATCCGTCATGACTGGTAGAGAGTGGTACGTGAGGAGGAATGCAGCCCCCGTGGGCCCCTCATGCTACACAGTATGTGCTCAGGATGGACTTTGCACCTTCCTCCAGCCTGACAAAAGAGCAAGTTGCCAAAACAGGATTTCGCCTAAGCAAAAGCCAGCTTGTGCCTGCGTTTCTTTTCCTGTGTTTTCTAAATGCCACGTAGTATTAACGAAGGCCCTCAGCTGCTTTCGAAATGACTTTCATTTAAGCTGAGAGGGGGCTCATACACAGGAACCACAGGGGGAGGTGCCGCGCTTAAAAACAAGCGAAAGCCGCTCTATTCAACCAAGAAGAAAAATAAATTTTTCCCCCATCAGCCACTTATGATCCTATCAGCCAAAAAGCGTTCCCATAGGACCAGAAGGAGCCTGGGGTAGTCGTGCAGAACTGCATGGCTCCAAAAGAAAAAACGTCTTTCTTTCAAGGTGTTGACATTTGAAAGCCATTATTATACTGTATACAGTATCAGAGCAGGCTGTGTTTGCCCATTGGGGGATATCAGAGTGAATAATATTCCATGTGATGCCTCAGGTAAACAAAATACTCGAGTTCCTGGTGGTAGTGGCGACTTCACCTGCCCTGACTGAGCAGAGGCCACAGGAAAGGCAGATAGAAGACCGAGGAGGAGGAGGAGGGCATCGGTAATGAATAACTAACCATTATGATGATTAAAGGGGGCGATGGGCACGGGGAGATAAGAGCGTGGTGACCGTCTGAGCATGAGGTGTTTACAGGGGGAATTCCTCACATTCCTCAGCTGCAGCCATGCCACTCCAATCTGCACCTCCACCCACTGATGGTCACTCTCTGTGCCAAAAGGGACCCAAGGGCCGGAAAGGGCCCAATGAGTTCCTTCACAGTTTAAAAAAAGAAAAAAAAAAAGAAAAAGCTGCGTTAAATGTGTTATGCAAGGCGATTTTTGAGAGTAGCTGCAGAGATTTTTAGGTGTATTTGATGGAGCTAATGCGACATGCTGAGCAGATACTTACTGCAGTAGATCCCTGGAGAATTAAAATCCACGCAAAGGCTTGTTTTCAGCTTTGAATAGGAACAAAAGGAGATTTTCAGTTAAAGCTGGGGTCTGTAGTTTTCCACAAATTCAGTCTACAGCAATGCGATGGAGCTTTTCCCGTTTGTTATTTACTGAAGTGATGCGATTAGATGGTGTCATGAACTGAGCAGGTTGTTGATAGCCAGATATTTTTGAGTAAACACTGCAAAATGTTATTTTTCAGCCAGGCTAACTGGGATGGCAAAGTTGATGATTGTTTGGTCGGTTCACCACTTTGTCCCTGAAATAGCTCAAGAGGATATTTTGCATTGAAATGCTGTACAGATATTCAACAACCAGCTGCCTTTGGTGATCCCCTGACCTTTGTCTAGTGCTGCAATAAGGTTCACATTTAAGCTAAAAACTATTGGATGGATTGAATGCAAAGACCATTTGACTGTGAAATTCCTGCAGTTCCCTTCATTTTTTGTTCATAGTGCCATTAATGGATCAAAAATTACATTTGTATATGGCATATGAACACACTAAACTAAGATAGTAACCATGGAAAACGTTATACCTGCTAAACCTCAGCATGTTAGCATAGTCACTGTGAGCATGTTAGCGTGCTGACGTTAGCGTTTAGCTCAGCGCACTGCTGTGACTAAGTACAGCCTCACAGAGCTGCTAGCAACCCTGCAGACTCTCAGTCTTCCTCTAGTTTACCCTACAGACTTGTATAGAAAAGATTTAGTCAGAAGAAAACAGTATGTATTTCAGCTTTAAATTCAACAAAGGGGCTGCTGTGTGGTCAAATATTTAACCTGCTTATGTCAAACTACAGGATGATCCTTCAGCACTGCACCATAATTCCCAGTTGTATCGCTCAGTGTTTTAAGGGTTACATAGCTCACACACAAGGCTATAAACCTATGACGTAAGACATAGGTCTGTTGCAGTAATATTTTCTAATCGGGTAATAAATCAACTGAAATACGTGGATGTATTTAAAGTTTGTTTCTCACTAAATGCTCTGAAGTGCAAAGACTTCTGGTGCCTTTTGTGCAAGGAAGTCATAAGGCTGGGCTTAACTCTAGTCTTTATCCCCTCAGTTCATGAAACTGTTTTTTCTTTTTCTTTTTTTTTCACAGGCAAGGCCTTTGAGCTTGAAAGTTACTAGTTGCTCAACGGTTATTTTTCCCTCCTCTCTGTTTGAGGAGTGTTTGTGTTGTTAACATCTGAGAGTGTCTTTAATCTAGCTCTCTTTTCACACAAGAAATGTCACACAAAAAAAAATCTCCTGCAGAAGAGTGCAATGTGTTTCATTTTAGTGGCGCTGGAGATGTGTAGGATCCACGTTTGAAAAGTGAAACACAGGTGAGATAAGGTGTCCTCCGTAGGCAGCGTCGTGATACAGAGAGTTTGCGTTTTAGGATCAATCAGCACATTTTTTTTTTTTTTTTTTAATGCAGTGCAGATGACTGGGTCTAATAGGATTATGAGAAGGTCTGGAGGGAGGAGAAGTCGT